TATATAAACAGAAATGCTTAGAGGACACAGGAGGGAAGGCAGGTACCTAAGCCAGGTATGCATCCCAGAGGGAGTGACATCCAAGCTGAGAGCCCTGCGTGGGTGTGAGTGAAGTGGGCAGGGAGGGGAGCTTTCTAAGCTGGAGTGGGAGAAAGAACCGAAACTGTGTGGCTAGAGCATCTCAGGACAATTCATTGTGTCTCCCATCGAGGTAAAAGCGAGTGCTGTGTGAGAGCTTCCCCCAGTGATGCTTTTCACCCAAAGGGGAACTTTCAGTGGGGCTTAGTCATCAGAGAGCTGAGCAGCCTGTGTTTGCTCTTCGTGGTCAGCGCCGGCCGGCCTCCCTGGGGTTGGGTGGGGGGAGGCTGCACGGACAGGAGATCTGGGGAGTAATACTTGCATTTTTTGCATCTTCAAATTGCATTCCTCCAACTTACTGCTGTCTAAAGAACCATGTTTGTGATTTATGAAACTTTTTTAAGTGAAAAATATATGTCCTTAAGATAGAACATTTCATCAGCACTTCCAGGAAATATATAAATAGAGTAAAGTAAAATAAAACAAATCCATTAACAAGTTCTGCTTCTTGCTAAATGACTTATTTCTGGGTTTTTTTGTTTTGTTTTGTTTTGTTTTGACTTTCTAGAGAGAGGGGAAGGGAGGGAGGGAGAGAGAGAGAAACATCTAGCCCACAACCCAGGCACGTGCCCTGCCTGGGAATCAAACTGGCAACCTTTCGGTTCGCAGGCCAGTGCTCAACCCACTGAGCCTCACCGGCCAGGGCAGGTAGCCATTTCTTAGAGGGAACCTCTTGTCCACCAGTTTGCTTTAAATGCTTTCTAATCAGATCCCCTCCTCCCCTACTTTAGTTTTAGAACACAAACTGTCTTCTCTAAAAACATATGCTTACAATTTGCAATTTATATAAAGTTAGCTACTGAAATAACTTGCCCATGGAAATGCATAATATAATTGTATCTAGTGAGCCGTTGGCTGATGATATGGATTGATGTGTCCTATCCCTTTCACTACTATGTTCTCATACTTTTTTTTCTATTTTACTTCCCTCTTTTTCAATACTGGGCACAATTTTGCCCTGAGACTCCAGTCTGGTCACACTCTCTGAGAGCCTGAGGCACAGCGGGTGCTCAGGAAAGAAACAGTGACACAAAGAGTGATATCTGACATCTTCTCACGGCCGGTTCTGTGACTGAGTCCTCACCTGCAGGGTGAGTGTCCCTCCTGGGCCGGCCGCTGGGGGTCTGAGCCCCTGAGATCCTCCAGAGGCAGAACCACGTCTTCCTTATCTATGAATCCTTGACTCCTGGTTCACAGTAGATGCTCAATAAATGTTTATAAAGTGATTAACATCCAAGCCCAACTCATGCAGCTGTATGGAAAAAGCCCATTCCTGGAAGAACAATAACATTTCTGGTGCCAATTACCAGGCCTAGGAAGTGTGGGGTGGAGGCTGGAGGGCTTCAAGCTAGAAAGGTTAAAACTTAGGAATCGAGGGGGCTTCACACAGTTCATTCCATGAACCTTCTTTCCCAGGGTGTGGGCCACACAGGGCAACGGGACTTGTTCTTAACTGGGCTAGTCTTTGTGAGTCTTTTTCAAACAATTTCTAGTAGAGCAACCAAAGTTCAGCGGACAGAGAGTCATTCAAGAGCCTTAGAAGAAACGCTAGTTAGAAAGGACTTCTTCGGCCATGTGTCTCTGTTGATGCCACTTTCCAAAGCAGTGATCACTGTTGTCACAAGCAGCCCAGGCCTGGCCAGGTCTGCCCCCTGTATCCAGGCCACAGCAAGCAGCTGCAGGCAGGAGGATTCCCTCTGCGCAGTGATGACGTTCAGCTAAGCCACAGTTTCCTTGACTTAGGAGGAAACCCGTGTGGTTTGGGGTTGAGGGGGCGTGGATAAGCAAAGTGCAGATATTTTCTCATTGTCCCGTGGCTTTAAATTGCAACCTCTCTTTTAATTTTCCATTGTGCATCAAACACGTCTGTGCCAGCGGTGGGCAAATGTATTCCATCTGGGAGGACGATCCAGACAGCTATAAATTAGAGTTTGTGTACAGAAATGCCAGAAATGTGGTCGTGTGGTAGGGTGTCCCTGGGACCAGTCACCTCCTCCACAGTCTGCTCCGTGGCTGCGAGCCTTGGCCTGATGCCTCTGTCAACAGATTTCACTTTGCATTTGGAAACTATCTTTCCATCAGGTTGCCAGAGATGGGGGGTGGGGGGGTGGGGTGGGCACACCCGCCCCAGACAGGCTCCCGCACTCCCAGGATGGTGCTTTCCCAAGGGCATCACTGTCTTTCCTGCACCTGAAACAGCAATGACCTTGAAGCTGGTTTCCTCCCAAACTCAGGCATGACCCAACTCTCCCCACTTTGTCTTGATAGAACAAACTACCATATCATGCTTTAAAAAAAAATCCTTACCTGTGGTCATTTTTCATTGCTTTTAGAGAGAGGGGAAGGAAGAGAGAAAGAAGCATTGATTGGTTGCCACCCAGACTGGAGAGGGAATTGCAATCGAGGCATGTGCCCAACTGGGAATCAAACCCACAACCTTTCAGTTACAGGATAATGCTCCAACCAACTGAGCCACACTGGCCAGGGCCCCATATCATGCTTAAAAAAAACCTCATAAACTCATTTAAAGTATGCTTATTGCAGAAAACTTAGAAAATATAGTGAAAAGAAAAAGTCACTTGTGATCCCACTCTTTGAAGATATCGTTAATGTTTTAGCATGATTTCTGTCAATATTTTTCCACGACGTGCTACCCTTTTTAAAAACGCAAAAATCTCTTCAAGCTGGTGGAGCCCAGCTCCTTCAACTGCCCCCCTCACATTATCCAATTAGTGCTCTCCTCCGAGTGCTGGAAACATTTAGTTATTCCACATTAGAGACTCCAGCTGGTAGAACTCTGTCCCTCCGGCCCCTCCTGGCTGAAGTCATGCCAAGCTTCTGCAGGGCCTGGCCACAGAGGGACTCGGCCTCCAGGGGACAGAGGGTGAAGGACAAAGCCCTTATATAACTCCAGCCAGAGAACCCCAAAGGGTAGCGCCAGGTTTTACAATCAGCCCCACAGATAGAAGGACCCCCTGTACCAAGGGCTGTGCTGGCTCCTGGCATCAGTGTTGTTCTTCCTACTCAACATCTATGTCGCAGGCTGTATCCTTCTGTCTTCCTTTCCGGGGCAGGGGCAGCCTCTACCCTGTGTGCCTGGCCACAGGCCAGGGCAGCCCAACACTGACTGGAGCAGTGTGTAGAACCAGGGTGGGGCTATTTTTATATCTTTGCTTCCTGTCCGCTGGTGCCTTGAGTCCAGAAGGTGCCCAGGGAATGTCTGCGAGTTGAGTGATGCAACAAAAGTCGAGATGGGCGTTTGTGGACAGAGAGGACGCTGGGGCTGGAGCCTGCCTACCGGCAGTTGTGACAGTCCTGTGGTGGCAGAAAAGGACCCCCAGCTTTGGTGTGCAGCCTCACGAAGCCCTCAGAGTGGCCGAGGGGAAGCAGGCAAGGCCCTGCCTCTGCCCAGCCACTGCCCGCACCAGCCACTCAGCCTCACCATGAGTCGCACGGTACACAGACCATACTTCTTCAGAAAATTATTTTTTCCTTTCTCGCTTTCCATGGAAACCCAAAATAGCAACCAAAGGAAAAAAAATGCTCGAGCTCCCTCCCTGTCAGCAAAACCTTCCCCGGGCAAAGCAGTGACCGGGGAGGCCCCAGGGGAGGGAAGGAGGTTTCCAGATGCCTCTAAAGCAGCTTTCTCACTGGGCACTGCCCTGCATGCTCATGAGGTGTGGGCAGGTCTGAGGTCGGTGTGTTTGCTTCTAGGTTAGAGAGGCGGGTTCCCCCCAGGTCTTAGAGTTCACCCTGCCCTCGGTGACCCAGCGTCTGAAACACAACCCTCTCTCATTGTGCTGTTTGTCAGGAGGTCCAAAATGCCCCACAAGGGACAGCAAGGCAGGGCACAGATGCCTTCCAGGGGGGCTGTTACTGGAAAGTTCTTTTTTTTAAAGTATTTTTTATTGATTATGCTATTTCAGTTTTCCCAGTTTTCTCCCCTTTATCCCCACTTCACCCTGCACCCCCCAACCCTCCAGCATCCCCTCCCTTAGTTCATGTCCATGGGTCGTACATGTAAGTTCTTTGAGTCCTCTGTTTCTTATACCACTTTTTATCTCTCCCGTCTATGTTATGCCTACCAATTATGCTGCTTCTTCCCTGTACCTTTTCCTCTCTACTCCTCCCTTCCCCCTCCCCACTGAACTCCCTCTGTGTGATGTCCATTTCTCTAATTCTGTTCCTGTTCTGGTTATTTGCTTAGTTTTAGTTTTTGTTGTTTTTCTTTTCTTTTAGGTTCATTTGTTGATAGTTGTGGGTTTGTTGTCACTTTACTGTTCATATTTTTGATCTTCTCTTTCTTAGATGAGTCCCTTTAATGTTTCCTATAATAATGGCTTAGTGATGATGAACTCCTTTAACCTGACCTTATCTGGGAAGCACTTTCTCTGCCCTTCCAGTCTAAATGAAAGCTTTGCTGGATAGAGCAATCTTGGGTGTAGGTCCTTGCCTTTCATGATGCAAGAGGAAAGGAGAAAGTTACCTACAAAGGGATGCCCATTAGACTATCAGCTGATTTCTCAAAAGAAACCTTGGAGGCAACAAGGGGCTGGAAAGAAGTATTCGAAGTCATGGAAAGTTCTTTCTGAGGCACCTTCCAGGCTGCACAAAGCTGCGAATGCCCCGTGACCCAGGGCAGCAGCCAAATGGAAACACTGTGTTTGGGAGCAGGAACTTCGGTTCCAGTGTCACGTGAGGGGCCTGGGGGCTCTGAGCACTTCATGTCACCCCCACCCCCACCCTAGTGAAGTGGGAAGGCTGTGGCCTTCCAGCCCCTGCGTCCTGGGCCACCACTCGCTCGTGGGCCGCACACACGCTCCCCTTCCATTCTTCGTAAAGCTCTGGCCTTCACTTTCCAGCTGGCGGGGTCGGCTGTCATCGCTTTTGGACTATGGTTTCGGTTCCGTGGCACCATGAAGGATTTCTCCTCGGAGGACAAGTCCCCAGAGTACTTCTACATAGGTAAGTGACGTTAGCTTCCCTAAGCTTTAGCTAGGGCGGCCCTGGAGGCTTAGGACAGACCTGTCCCTGGACTCCTGGGGAGGGGCCAGAGGTAAAGGAAGCAGGAGAAGCCTGAGCCCCTGAAGAACCCACTTCTCCTACACTGGGGGGATGGGGTCCAGGTGGGGAGGGCCCTGTCCCTCCCCTGCCCGCCCCTCACACGGTTCACCCCTGTGCTCTCCACAATCAAGGAAGACCAGTGCGGTAGACTGGCCTGCAGTGCTTCTTTCAGCCGCTTCAAGAAAAGAAGCCCAGAATGGGACTGTAATTCATTTCCAAAGAATTAGAAACTCCATTTTGCCCCAGTAAAGAGGTTATGCCCCTGTCGGTTACTCACTGTTCCACCTGGGGTGCCTGAGGCCCTGCAGACTCTGAGAGAAACTGAATTCAAGATGAGGAGACATCTCAGGGTTTGGAGGTGCTAACCTCAGTCCCTCCGTGACCAGGGACGCGGAGAGCTGGGGAGGGAGGGTAAAGGGAGGGCGGGGATGATGGGGAAAGAGGCCTCAGTGGGGGAGGGGCAGCAGCCCCCTCCGTCCGGTGAAGGATGGGGGGAGAAGTGTCGGGGAGGGTGTAGCCTCCCATTCTGAGACCACATGACAAGTCAGGGCTGAGCACTGCCCCCCGGTTCAGAGTCCTCTCTTCATCCGCTTCCAGTCTTCTTCTGTGGCTTTTTCTCATTCTACAGTTACACGCCCCTGGACTCTAGATTCCAAAATGCCCAAGACTGTGGTCAGTACAGGGGATGGCCCCATGTGACTGGTTGCTTTTAGATCCACGCAGCCACAGAGCATACACTTCAGTTGCTTGTGGTGACCTCTGTGCTTGGGGTGAAGCAGGATCCTGCCGAGATCACTTGCTGCAGCCCCAAGAAGAGCAGAGCTAGTTCCCGGGAGGGACCAGTGTCCAGGCCCCACTGACAGCCAGGGACATCCTCGTGAGGGCCACTGCCAGCTGGGTTACCCCACCTCCACAGTACCTTCCCACCGCGTTCCCTCCTGCAACAGAAAGCCCCCTAAAAGATGGGTAACAATAAGGAATCCCACGTTTCATCAAATCTTACAGTCTTTTGTCAACACCCAATTATTTTAAGTTTCACTGAGGAAAGAAGTGCTGCCACTTTCAGGAACGTATCATAAAACATGCATCCTGATTTCAGAAACGTTCAAATGTAAAATTGGTGAGATGTGGTAAGAGGAGTATGGAGATGGAGAGTCTCCAGTTGTGGTTCAGGGGTCAACACAGGCACCGAGGACCCAAGTGTTTTCCAGGTTTCTACTCACCACCCACGGGACAACCTCAAAACGCATCCCCTCGGGATTACAAAATGGCTGCTGTGGTTCCAAGCATCGCACCCTCATACAGCAGCATCCGAAGGGGAAAGATGGAAGCTTCACCCCAGGTGGCCCTTTTTAGGAATGAATGAAATCTTTGTCCAGATTTCCCGGCCGACTTCCCCTTGCAGCTAGTTGGCCAGGGTTACACTGGGTGTTCATACCTTAGCCACATTGGCCAAGAGGAGAATTACTATGACTGCTCTGACTAATCAGGAGTCACCCTGGGCCTGGAAAGAGGCCCAGGCTCTCAAGACAGAAGTGTCTCTGACACTTAGACAAAATCGGGGTTTTGTTACAAGGAAGAAGCAGAGGAATTTGCCATCCTACTTAACCCTGAAATGCTCTTTCTTTCCACCCACACAGTTTCCAGGTGGTACCCACCCTTCCATCCAAACTCTCACATGCATATTTAGCATATTCTTTCTTCCTTGAGGAACTGCTGGCTCTGATAACCTCCTCGGAATCATTCCTCTCGCCCAGAGCAGACCCCGAGTGTCCCCAGAGCAAGCTCAGCCTCGGCCGGCCTCATCCCCAGGAATCTTCCAGCTCACCCCAAGGACACACAGGAGCAGTTTGGGGCGGGTGGAAGGAATGAATCTGCCCTCACTCTGCAGATATTCCGGGGCCTGCTTGTTTCATCACTTTCCCTGTGATTTCTAATTCCATTTTAGCATAGTCACACTCCTTGCCCACTGGATTGACCACAGCAGAGTTTAATTCAGTTTTCTGGGGATTCACGCCTCTCCAGATGTGCCCTATGGCACATACCATGATCGGTAGCAGACAAGAATCTCCAGCCTCTGTTAAGTGCCAGTGAGTGGCACAGACACGACCACTGAAACAAGCGTGAGAGGGAGCACTGCAGACTGGCAGGGCAAGCCTCGGGTGGAGGGGCGCCTGGGAGAGCAGAGCTGTTCCAGGAAGCCTGAGTCAGGGAGAGCCCGGCTCAGGACTCTGAGTCAGCACCGCAACGTACCAGTAGGCAGCTCCCATCCTCTCCGTGGTCTGGGGCAGGTCTGGCTGATTGTTCAGGATGCTCTTGTGTGGGACTCTTCTTAACCTGGCTCCTCCCAGCCATTCACAACTGTTGCTGGGGGTGAACATCATTCTGTCCCAGCTATGACTTCAGTTACTTGGTGTCCTAATGAGAGGTTGGTCCCAATAAACTGCGCCTGTCCTTTGCTCCTAAAATTCAGGCATGTTGGCGTTGAGGGTGTCTATCTGCTCTTCGCGTGCTGTGTATCTCGCAGTCCTCAGGTGTGAGTCTCAAGACTTTCCACTCAAAGCTGCGTTTGCCCTCAGGCACACGGGGCGTGATCCACCTCACTGAGAACCAAAACGTGGGAAACAGCCACGCATTCCGTTACCGTCAGACACTCTCCTTCGGGTTGTTGTAATAGCTAAGTGCCTAAGACCAGCCACCACACCACCCAGCTCAAGGTTGAAGGACTTGAGTGTCTGTAAAGGGATTTTGGAGCCTGAACTGAAAATGCTCAGCCGCAGTAAAGAAAACCCATTTTAAAAGACCATGAAATCCTGGGTTATGTGAAAAACGTGAGAGGCTGTCTCCCTTTCCATGGTAATGAATGCCTGGCTGTCTAAAAAATCTCTCCATGGTTATTTTAATTTTCGGATTTCGGTTATGCACTCAAGCAGGGGTGCCTCTATTCTTTCCAATATTTTTTGTAGGCTCCTCTGTTAGGGAAACGAATAGAACCTACCCATGGGTATCTCGGCCAGCCTCCAGAGTCAGGGCTCTGTTGTCACAGACATGTATGGGAATCCTGGACTTGCCCCTTGTCACCTGCCAGCTCTTCGGAGAGACGCACAGATGTAACTATTTAAATTATGCCAGAAACTACTGTGTGACTAAATGCCAACGAAGTAGCATTTGCAGTGGGAGCATCGTGGCCATTGGAAACTGGTGAGGCAAGGAGGAGCTGAGCTAGGTGTGAAAGACCAGACTGCGGTCAGTGGAGAGGACGAAGAATCAGGACTGCAGAGGCTGTAGGGCACGATGACACCCGGCATGTCTGCGGGGCAGTGGCTAGCAGCCCAGGCTGGGCGGAGCACTTTCTGCGGTGTGTAAAGGGCCGGGGCACGGTGGGAGGTAAGATTACAGATGTTGGGAGGTAAGATTACAGATGTTGGGAGGGAGGGAGGACAAGCATGCGGGGCTTTGAATGTTCCAGTTAGTTCATTTGCTAAGGAGCAGAAGACTAATTTAGGGTTTGGGGGAGGTATGATCTCACTGCAATTTTAAAGATATTATTCCGACAGCAACGGAATGAGAGGGGAGTCACAGGATAGAAAAGAACAATCCAGTTAGGTAGAAGAGGGTAAAGGGTGGGGAGAGATAAATGGTGATGGACAGAGACTTGACCTGGGGTGATGAACACACAATACAATATACAGGTGATGTATTATGGAATTGTCCACCTGAAACCTATGTAGTTTTATTAACCAGTGTCTTATTAACCTAGTAAATTCAATAAAAAGGAAAAAGAAAAACAAAGAACTAGCTAGACTACTGCTAAAGTCAGACATGAGGGCATGACCCATGACAGCTGCAGTAGGAATTGTGATGAAAGGAACAGAGACAAAAAACATTATTGAACAATACTATCAAACATTATTAAAGCCAGGGACAGAAGGAATCAGAACAACAAGTGACATCAGTAACAGAGACAAGGCCAGCAGTGACAGTCAGTCATGACATTTAGATGGGAACCGGGGTCACACTCGTAACCCGTCCTGCTCAACCAGGGAGAGGGCAGACGTGGGAAGGGGGGTGCAGCGGGGAAGCCCGTGAGCCAGCCCAGGGAGTGGCCTCTGTCCGCGCTGCTCCAGAAACAGCGCACCGAAAGCATGACCACGGCGGGAGATTCGGGTCCAGACTAAGATAACCTTCCCGACGATGTGATAAATCAGAGAAGCTGAGCACACCTCCTCGGGTGAAAGTGAACTCACCTCTCCAACGGTACTTCACATACCCCTAGTGGGGCAGAATCGGGTCGGGGCTATGTCCATTCAGGAGGGTCCTGTGCTGAGCGGGGGTCAACCAGCTCCAGACAAACATGCTGACCCTATTTCCTAGCCTAAAGCAATGTGAACAGCTCGTGGTGCAAGAAACATCACATTTTTATGGATATGTTCTTTAGGACTCTTCTCATTCATCACAAATCACAGACACTTGACTCAAACCACCTTGAGCAAAACAGAAATTTCTTGACTCACATGACTGAAAAGTCTGGGACTGGCACTGGTCTCAGGGACGCAAGGGACGTAACTGGATCCAGTCCGTGGCCATCTCTGAGCTCTGCTTTCCCGTGGCTCTACGCCGGGCAGGTTTCCTCTACTCTCAGTAAGAGGGCTGCCCACTGCTCCGGGCAGCACCTCCGGAGCAACTCTGGCAACAAAAATCCAACCCAAATCCTGAGCCGCCTGCCTCTCATTGGCAATCTTGGGTCCCGTGCCCGTTCCCAAGCCGATCATTGCGGCCAGCTGGTCGGGCTGGGCTCATTGGCTAAAGCCCGGGCCTCACCCCTGCCTTGGAGCTGGGGCCATTCGGCCTCTCAGACCACAAGGACTGAGAGTCACCGGGGTTCGTTCCTCTGATGAAGA